TGCTGAATCAAGACACAAAAATCCTAAGTAGCCCAGTATCAGTCAATGAAATTGAAGTACAATTTTGTTGTAGTAAGAACTACAACAACAAGAACAAAAAAACCAAGGTTCTAAAGAATTTATTGCTGAATTCTACCAAAAAAAAAAAAAAAAAGACAAGATCTAATGCCACTATTCCTCAAACTCTTTAATAAAACTAAAGGGAAGCGATACTCCCAAATTCATTCCTGGTGCAAACTTTATCCTGATAGCAAAACCAGAAAAGGATCCAACCACAACAAAGAATGATAGGTCAATTTCCTTAGTGAACATAAATGCAAAATCTTCATAAGATACTGGAAAACAGAATGCAGCAAATTATCATCAACATTATACACCATGACCAAGTAGGATTCATCCTAGGGATACAGGGATGGATCAACATAGAAAAACACATATATCAATTAATGGCACCACAGACAAAAACCACACGATCATCCCAAAAGACACATAAAAAGCATCTGATATCAATCCATTCATGACAAAAACCAGACCTACAGAAAATCTGAAGGTCTTTATCTCAATCTGACAAAAGCCATCTATGACAAATCAACAGTCAATATCATACAAAATGGTCAAAAGCTGAAAGCTTTCACTGTAAATTCAGGACAAGACAAGGAGGCCCACTATCACTACTCCTATTTAACATAGTTCTAGATACATTAGCCAGAGTATTTAGAGAAGAAAAAAGGATAAAAGGAGCAAGAATAGGAAAGAAAGAAGTTAACTTATCATCTGTGGCTATCATGATATCCTACATAGAAGACCCCAGAAACTCCACCAAAAGATTCCTAGATTTAGTAACTAAATTTAGTAGCATAGCAGGATACAAAGTCAACACTCAAAAATCAGTAGCATTTCCATACACAAAAAACTCACTGAGACATTAGGAAAACACCTTTCACAATAACAAAATGAAATACTTAATCAATCTAACAAAGGAGGTAAAAGACCTTTACATTGACAACTACAGTACTCTTGAAAGGAGATCAAAAAGAGGCTATCAGAAAAAAGGATGCCCCTTGTTCCTGGATAGGCAAATATAGTAAAAATATAGTAAAAATGGCCATACTTCCAAAAGTACAATACAGATTTAATATAAACCCAATTAAAATACCTATAGTATATGTCACAGAACTATAGAAACCAACTTTAAAATTTGTTTGGAACCAGAAGAGACCTAGAATAGCAAAAGCCAATTCTGGACAACAAAGGCAAGACAGGTAACACAATTCCCAAATTAACATTATACTATGGAGCTACCATGATAAAAATGGCATGGTACTGCCCAAAAGGCAAACCTGAGGGTCAATGGAACACAATAGAAGATGCAGGAGGATTATTTTTCTGAATTCATGTACCTACAATATTTGAATGGCAATGGAATATCCATCTCTGACAAAACTAAACAAAAAAGGGGGATATAAATGAAGGACCATTTTGTAGTGAAAAAAAATATATATATATATCTGTATATACAAAATAGGATATACAGCTTTTAGTTCAATGAGATGATTTGTACTAATAGTGTTTAGACAAGATGTAATGTCTGCATCTTGTACTACGAATAACTACTATGGACAATATACAACATATTAATTATTGTAACTGTCCTACTAACCTGATTTGAAACTGTCTCACTGCTATTTCTGTCTCAATAAAATTAACTGAAAAAAAGCAACTCCAAATAAACCTATATATCTTATCTTCAACAAAAGGGTCAAGAACATTTGCTGGAAAAAAGATAGCTTCTTTAACAAATGCTGCTCAAAAAACCACTTTCCAGATGCCAAAGATTAGACTAGTATATACTATATCTATACTAGTATAGATTAGTATCACTCATTATTCACTAGACTAAAATCAAAATGGATCAAAGATCTAAATATTAAAACAAGTGCTTAATCTGATGAAAGACAGAATAGGTAACTCTTTAAGATACAGGTGTAGCCTGGGGAGATAGCTTAGTGGTCTAAGTGCAAGTGCTAGGATCCAGGTTTGATCCCCAGTACTATATGCCATGCCAGCCACCAAAACTGGGTGTGGTGGCACACACCTGTAACCCCAGCATTAGGGAGGCTGACAGAGGAAGATCACTAATTATAAAATTAATAGACACTTCTTAAATAAAGTACAAGCACCAAATATCACTGACCATTTGAGAAATGCAAATTAAAACTCTGAGATTCCATCTCATTTCAAAAAGAACAACTATCATCAAGAAATCAATGAATAACAAATGCTGGCAAGGCTGTGGGGGTGGGGAGAAGGAACCCTTTTCTACTGTTGGTGGGAGTGTAGACTGATACAACCAATATGGAAATTTGTATGGAGATTCCTCAAGACACTAAAACTAGAGGTTCCATTTGACCCAACTATTTTTCTAGTTATCTTCCTTAGAGTTAAAAGTCTCATAGTTCAGAGATACATGCATGAGTTTACAGCAGCACTAATTTTTAACAGATAAATTTTGGAAACAGTACAGGTGCCCATCGATGGATGAATGCATAAAGAAAAGTAGGTTTAAAATTTTTTTTTTTAATCTTTCATTTATTTGGTACAAGGTCTCACTACGCAGCTTGGACTCCTAGTGATCCTCCTGTTTCAGCATCCCCAATGCTGGGATTATAGGCATGGGGCCACCATGCTTGGTTTCAGTGGCTGGCACGGTGGGGGGCCAGCACAGCATGTGGTACTGGGAATCGAACCTGGGTCCTTGCATGTGCCAGGCAGGCACTTAGACTACCACGCTATCTTCCCAGCCTGAAAATGACTTTTTTATACACAGTGAATACTATTCTGTCATAAAGGATAAACTTGAGACATTTTAAGGTAAATAGAAGCACCTTTGAAAATGTAATTTTAAGTGAAATCAATCCAACACACCTGTTTAAATATCATTGTTTCTGTGTGAGAAGCACAAAGAAAAAAATAAGGAGCAAAACGGATGATAGATATTAGGAAGCAGGAAGAAAATGGTCAAGGGAAGCAGAACAAAGAAGAGGGAGTAGGAGGTGAAAGGGGAAAACAGGGCTATTTTAAAAAGTAAAAAATAAGTTTTGTAAAGTGGAAGGAAGATTTGAGGGAAGGGCAATGGGAAAAAATTAAAGTATGTGTAATTACAAACTCCCTACGATGTGATTGTTATGAATGTCAGAAGTGTTCCAACAGAATTAAATTTTAAAAATCTACAAATCTCACAATAAGGTGTTTTAGACTCTTTTGTCTCCAGATATGCTTGCACTACAACAGGGGAACTGAGAGTGGAGACTGTTAGGAAAGCAAGCGTGGGATTGGCGCACACAGGCACAGAACCACAGGGGACCCCTCCCAACTCAATGCCCAACACAAGAGGGTACGTTTGGGCTGGGTGCATGCTTCTCCAGCAGAGTGTAGCCTCTCCTTCCCTGTCCTCTTCCCATGTGCACAGGTAGTCCACTGACCTGGAGGGCACCTTGCTTCTCCCACGTGCCACCATCCACCTGAGCCAGGAAGAGGGCATTTCTTTCCAAGGAGTGTTCACCTGGGTTTTGGTGCATGAATTTCCACTGAACCAGCCCTGCTGTGCACATCTGCAGACCCGAAGTCGAGGGCACCTCTCAAGTTTAGGGTAGGAACAGCTGTCCCAAAACTGTATGACATATTTGTAGGTGGGAGCTCTTAACTAGAACCTATACTCCCCTATCCTATTCTAGTGCTTACGAAGTCATAAGGGGACAAATGTTACAGGTATACAGTGGTTTATAACCTCTCACTGAGCTTATCAGTAACGAGGCCCACTCAGAAGGATGAGACGAAAACCAAATGGCAAATACGACAGAATGTGTGTATTAGAATGTTGTCTCCCTTACTCTAAAAGCCTCTCTGAAAATGAGAACCAGACTAACCAGCCTTGTGCAATTCTGGGGAAGAACATTGCAAACAAGGAAGGGCAAACACAAGCATTTGCAGACAGATCTAGAGTGGAGGTCCGTACAGCCCATGCTGCTCAACTCCAGCACAAGACCAGGAGGGGCAGTGGAGGGTGCGCCAAAGGGAGGCTGGAACCCAAAGCCATGCCAGCACAACAGCTGCTGCTGCTGTCAACACTATGAACACCTCAGGGAATAAGCAAAAAAAAAGATACATGCTTTTTATTCATGTGTGGCTCTCACCAACAAAACAAAAGGCTTAGCACTTTTTTAAACTCCCACATAAAATACAGGTTACCATGCTTATTGAACAAAGAGAAAACCACACACAAAATTTGTCACATCATATCTTAAGGTTTGAAATTTTATCTTAAGGACATGGGAACAACTTTTCCACAGTTGAATTTTAAATTATTCTCAATTATTGAGTAAGAAGTAATACGAAGGACAAGTTATAAGTTTGATATGTTTCTCCCCAATGATCCAGAAAGATCAGGCTCTGGTTAATAGAAAATGACAAATTTTAGTTAGTACTATTTTAAAGTTTTCCACAAATTTAAAAAGCCACATCCTGCAGTGCTCAAACCATGGCACTGAAATGCTTTTAGCAAAGTTAAAAATAAATAACACAATTGATCCAGACTCTAAAGAGATAGCCCTATAGTGCCTTCAAAAAGTGGAAATGCAGTGTGGCATGAGCACAGATCACTTTTTCAGTGTTCTTCACTACTGGCTTCAGATGTGAAAAGCCGAAGGTGACAGATCTGGGCCACAGAGCGATAGAAAAGAACTTGGGGGCTTCCAGGCAGCCTGGCAGCCTGGCCCATTTTCTGTCCTATTTCCTCTTGAGGCTTAGAGCTCAGTTTCACTTAGCCAGATTCTAACGTTAGATAGCCCGAATTCTTACTCAATTTTCATTTCCTCTACATTTTAGGGCCCCAAAAATATTTTTGTGATTCTTAGGTTATATATGAAATGGAAAACAGGCATTAGGCAAACCAGAACCTGCGTATGAAAATGCACAAGTTACGTCTAATTTGCTCTTTTTATTAATAATGGTAACTCTACCAAGAAGTCAGAACTGAAATAAAAAGTACAAAACTTCAACATACACATAACTTTACTTACATTTATATGAATGTACATGTATCATTTTCAATTGTTTTTTCCTACTTTAACACTTTTAAATAGCATTACAAATGTCAATGACCTACATCACAGTAACCATAATGAACGAGGCTGCTGAAATTTCTAATATTGTCTTATTTCTAAAGAGTTACAGTAAAGTAATGTACAGTATATAAAGCCTATTAGACTGAATTTGTATGGTCTTAGGCCATTACTACTATTTCATTCCAATTTGGATTTAAATACAATCACTTACAGATCTGAAATAAAAGCATTGCTTAATGGTTTCAGATGCATTTTGGTATTTAATATTTCAAGGCATCTTTAAAAATAATTAAAATGTGAAAAGAACCTATGACTAAAGCTGCTTATATGTACAACAGGAGAAACAGGAGTAACCATAAATACTAAAGTCATAATTACGTCTAGATTTCTTTATATCAACCAAGACTAAGTAGCACACACAGTAATTTAATATAACCTTAATGGTCTAACAAACCTCCCAAACGGAAGGAAATACAAAATAAAATTGACACATCAAATTTAATTTATAACACAAACATATAGGGTTATTTTGCTATGTGCACAACTACCCTATGTCACGCACACTAGGTGAGCCTCTGCTTCCTGGACACCATATCATGAGACACTTTTCTCCACCAGTTCCTTCCACCATGCTGCTTTTGTCTGGAGCTGGTAGAACCATGCAAGGACTAAGACCATTGCAAGTGGTCAGATGTGCTGCACAAGCTCTGCACCCACACACTGGCAAGCTGTCAGCTCACACCACATGATCCACTCACACCTGCCTGAGGCTGAGATTAGGGCCTTTCACAACACAGCACCAGCTGCTGCATAAAGGCCAACTCTTGGGAGCCGTAAGAACCTCCCAGTCCTGTCAGTGAAAGGTATATACTCTGCATGAACTGGGTTGTTTTCCTATTTTTATAAGGAGCAGCCCTTGGATTTAATTAGGGCTTATTAATAGAGGAAACACTTTTTTATTTCTTAGATTTTATACAGAAATGTATTCATTGAAGATTTGTTCATAGTAACTGCATTTCACTCATGGCTTTACTATTAATGTAACCCAAGCTCTGAAATCTGTGACCCTAACACTGAAGGTCAGATAATCCTATGTCCACTCTAGGATTAAGTGTGTGACTACTGGAGACTAAATACTACTTATTTGGCTTCAAAGCTGTCCCATTTACCTGAGAATGAATCAACAGTGTCCTTTCAAATATTAGTGGGAATTTGGAGAATTAGTCTAGATTCAAAAAGAGAACATACGATCAAGAAATCTTACTAACAATTTACCGACAAACATGAAGCTGTGTGGTAGTCACGTTGTGTTTGGGAGTTTTGGAAAAAGTGGCCAGTTAGACTAGAACACTACAATCTGGAAGACTTTTGAGAAGTAGCAGCAGCACCAGCTGATAGCTGAGTTTGAAGCCATGTGTAAATAGGAAAATGAATGCAGGGGATGGAATCTTACATGCTTCAATGTAGCCATATGCAATGGTACTTCTTAGCAGGATCCAGTGACATCATGGATGGTTTATTACCAAAATAGTAGCTATAATCATGTACTGCCTGTCAGTCTTTACAACATTTGCTAACTTCATGGAAACTGAAGCGCGTGTAAGGAGATCCAAAGGATCTTTACTCCCCAATTAGCCACATCACTCACTCACAGGACCATGCTTGAAAATGTCTGCTTGACCTTGAATTACTTTTACAAAAAGACAGCAGCATGGATTACAAAAATGGATCTTTAACTTACCAGAAATATGAAAGTGGTCTTACTTTAAAAATGCTGTTTTATAAAATTTTATTTGTCCTGTTTCTATGTACCTTTCTTTAAAAGCTGTACGCTACCATGGAAAATACATGCATATGAGTGCAGAAGTCTGAACCTAGAGGCTTTTTAATAAGAATCAAGAATCCAGTTGACCATCATAATTGGGAAGTAACTTTTAAATACATTAAGGAAGCAGTTTATCTCAATTTTTAACTTGTGAAGATGTCAAAAGTCTTAGACTAATGTTCAGAAACTAAAGTCACTGAGAACAGAATCACCACCTTGAAAGTTCTGCACGACTTGAGTTATTCTGTAAGTATTTACAAACAGTTTTGATTTGTCACACTATTTGTGGCTCTTTTCCTTTGGCTACTCTTTTTGCTCTCTTAAATCATGTAAAAATTCAATAGATGCCTAGAAACTTGCTATTTATTATAGGAGACTTGTAGCTGCTAAAGTTCATAGCATAGGTAAAGTTTGGCAGGACATTCTTTCTGGAATGGTTGTCCATTCTGCTGCAACTCATGCTACTGCTATTGCATTTACATCAGACACCATACTGTTTGTTACCATGCCTACTCAATAAATACCACAAGGCTTTTGAATGGATGTATTAGTAACAGCTTGTCAGTATTCTTGATAATTGACTTTCCAAACTACATTATACCTTTGGATAAATGAGGCTTCATCACTTGCAGGTGCACAGATTATAGAAATTCTGGATGAGAATGAATACATTCATACTATGTAATTCCGGTATGTTCTTGCTCTCATGATGGCAATTGCCCTAACTACGGAACATACTGTTTTTCTGGCCATTTTTTTGTTGACCTGGATGACACCTGATGCTCCAACAGATGTTACGGTTAAAGTCGTATGAGAAAAATTAATGAACATCAACATTCTCCATGATTTTGAACTCAACAAATTACAAGAAAACTTGGGACTTCAACATGAAGAATTTACCATGCATGTCATGATAAAATATATATAAACAATCTTATCAGCATAATAAGCACTTGTTTGTTGTCTTTTTTCTCTAACTTGAGGGCAATAGGCTAGAAACCATATGTCAACTTACCTTTTTTAATGTAGGTACTTTTAAGAAGACAATTTTGTGGTGTTGTAAGAATACCACTTGTCTGCATCACCCTCTGCATTCTACCCAGGTAGTGCTTCCTGAAGTCCTGCATGACTGTTGAAAGCCATGTGGAATCAGAATATGGGAAATCATGGCATGTTGTAGTTTAAAAGGAAGCACTGGACTTGGGGCTGTCTTCTCAAATTCTAGGGCATCTGCACATTTTTATGCTTTTATCGTATTACTTTTATCTCCTTATCAAGAAAAATGTTACAAAAAAGAAGCAAAGAGGCGTTCTGAGGCATATAAATCCTGATATTTTAAAATAGTCAAAAGAAAAATAAAATTCATATAACACAAGAAAACTCACATATTACATAATATTGAGTGACTATTGCTAAAAAAAAAAAAAAAAAAAAAAAGTATGTGTGGGTAGGCTTTGTTGTGAGATGGCTGAAGCTATGGTTCTCAAAGATCACTATGTATCAGTAGCCACACACTTGCAGAGATGCACAAACCTACCATTTCACTGACATCTTTCATTGTTTATTTAAGAAATTTTTTGGTGCTTAGGACCAAACCCAGGACCTCCACTACTAAGCTACAATCCCAATCAAACCTTTCATGATCTTAACACTGATGTCTTCATGAGTTAAAGAATCAATTCCCATAGAAAAATCTATAGCTAAACCAAATTAAGAGTATTAAATCTTCCACACATGGGCACATATAGGACTCATTTTGTTTAGTAAAATGGAAAGTTATTTTTTAAAAAAATCTGCAGTCTTTTTGCAATGCAAGGCACCAATGGGGTGCAGACTTTCCAGCAAAACTTGATTGTCCAGAAAAAAAAAAAAAAAAATTGAGTTGATCAGTTCTTTGTTAATTGGAATACTTCCTCTTCATGTCTATGCCACATCTTCCAGATAATCCGCAATGTCGCTGAGCTGGGAAACAGTGAGGTCTTGGGTGAGGTCATCAAGCTTTATTGCCCAAAAGAAAGAAAATAATTGGTATCAGAATGGAAGCAGAATCTAAATTACTAAAATGTATTAACTACATATATAATTTAAATATTTTATACGCTACAACTGGTTCTTATTTAAAAATTCATAAAATGGGTGGAAAGACTGAAGAGTTGGGAAGTGATCTGCTCAAAAGCCTATCGTTAAAAAAATCAATGCAGTCTTCTGAGATCAAAGCTTTATCCTGATTATATTCTCAAATATGACATGCAAAAACTGAAAATAAAGCAAACAACTTCCCATTTCAATGTAATCTAAGAAACTCAAAACTCAAACTTATGGGACACTTTATAAAAGCTTTCTTATTTGAACAAACTTCCAACAAGTGATTTTGTTCAAGCAAATACACCTCTATGGATCAACTCAAACTACTAACATTAAATTTTGTTCAAATTAATTAGAACACCCCATATTTCATTTGAATGCTATTGCCTATATTTTATATGATGCTATAGAATATTAGATTCCTAACATCAAACTGAAAGCATGGCAGCCATCCTCCACAAAGCTGGCATGATCAGCCAATTGGACACTAATATGAAACAGATGGGTAGATATGATAGTTTGTGGAATTGCAAGCTCAGCCTTGTGCCCACCAGTGTAATGGATATGAATGATTCTTATCTCTGTTTACAATACACAAAACTAGAAAGTTAGCTTCTATGAGCCAGAATATTTCACTTCTCTAAACTTCTAAGCTGATGACAGAAAAAAAATAAGGATAATGGGTTAAAAGCATTGTCATTAAAGTAAGGAGAAAATTAAGAATCAAAACTTAGGCTATCAAATATAAAAAATATACAGGATGGTGCCACTGATGGGTAAGGAAGAACGAAGCCCAACCTTTTCAGCATCTGTTTGATCCATTTTTGCGTAAACTGGCCACCTCATCCTGGCTGGCCCACGAGATCCAGGCACACCACAAATCACCTCTGGTCATTTTCTCAATAAAATGGCAAGGTTGAGTTTGTCATAACAAAAAAAAAAAAAAAATTAACACAAAAAGAAAAAAAAAAGCCTACTTAAAAATGGGCAACAAACTTAAACATATGTTTTTCAAAAATAAAAAATACAAATGACTAAAAAGGACAAGAAAAAATGCTTAATATTATTAATCATCATGGAAATGTAAATCACAGCCAGAATGAGTACCACCTCACTCCAGTAACATGGGCTGCTATCTAAAAGATATTAAGATAACAAGTACTGGGGGTCAGCCAAATAGCTCAGTGGATTAAAGTGCCTACAAGCAGACACAGGGGCTGGGGAAGGAGGGGGGTGTTTGGTCCCCAGGCCTGCTGTGCTGGCCCTGACCCACCCCCAGGGCACACTGAGACAGCAATTGAGACTGGGTGTTGTGGCACGCCCCTGTAATCCCAGCACTTGGGAGGCTGTAAACAGGAGAATCACTAGGAGTCTGATCTAGCAGTGAGACCCTGAACACCCCGTAGACCCTTCCCTAAAATACAAAATAAAGATAACAAGTACTGGCCAACACGTTAGGCAAAGAGAGCCCTCATACACTGCTGATGGGCATAAAAATTAGTAGAGCCACTATGGAAAATGCTATGGAGGTTCTGCTCCAAAATCAACAGAATAACCATAGGATCCAGCAATCTCCCTCCTGGTATATACCCAAAGGGAATAAAGTCAGTATGTCAGAGATATCTGCACCCCCACTTTTATTGCAGCAATATTCACAATAGCTAAGAAACAGAAACAACCTAAATGCTCACTAGCTGATAAATGTGTAAAGAAAATGCAGAATACATACCAATGCAATACTACTTGGCCATTAAAAGAAGAATGAAACACTGTTATTTGTAAGAACATGGATAGAACCTGGGATCATTATGTTAAGCAAAATGAACCAGGCACAGAAAGACAAGCAACTTATGACTTCATTCATATGAAACCTAAAAAAGCTCTCTCATAAGAGAGGCTAGAAGACCAGCAAGGAACACAGATTTGAGGAGGCTGGTCAAAAGGTACAGTTAAGTAAATTATAGTTAAGATGCTAGAAAGTTGTTCTGTTGGGTCATTACTGCCTAGTATGCTAAGTACAGAGAATACTAACATACTGTGTATTTTAAAAGCTGTAAGAAAGGAGTTTGAGTGTTTCTACTATAAGGACATGATAAATGAGATAGGTTTAATCTCATTTAAATATTACACAGTGTATACATTTAGCAAAACATCAGGGGCTGAGGGTATCCCTCAGGGGACTTGCCTAGCCTGTGAAAGGCCCTGGTTCCATACACAGTAATGAAGAAAAGATCACACGGCACCACATAATGCTTTATGTAATTTTAAAATAAATTTAAAAGCAAAAAGACTAGTTAACCAAAAACTTCCAGAAGAAAACAGCCTAATTTAAAATAATTATGAAGAAAGGAAACTGTATAAACAGAGGTTAACTACAAATGGCTATTTTCATTACTTTTATTTTTTATTTT